CTCTTGGGGCTGCTCCACAGATGTTGCCAGACAAACTGCACACAAGCGACCATCAACAGGTATCCAGTCAAGGAAGGATACTTCCGCCCTTTGACTTAGTACGACATCAACCCCAAAAAATCCGGTTGCTGTTACCTCTGGATCACTAGAGCTGCGCAGCCGGAATCAAATGGAGACTGAGTGGGCGGTTAGGCCGATCACTGTGCTTGGATCTTGAATTCTTGTTCCTGAGACACAGCACACATCAACGCCAAGTTAGTCTAGTGTGAGTAAGAGCAACCTGTTTTCCCGCCTGTTTTAGAGTGCGGACATTAAAGACGGCTAGATAGACGGGGTGTTGATGCTTGAAGATTGATTTCATGCTACCCGAGGATATCGGTGCCACGTGACGAGCGAATGACACACGCGAAACCAACGCAAGACAAAAAAGTCCTCAGTCTTACAAGGATAGAGTCACTTATACGAGTAAGGAGAGGGGGGAGGAAAAGTATGTGAAAGAGCAAAAATGGAAGCGTCAGCGGTAGCGTATTTTCGTTTACCTGACAGGCGTATGCAGCAAGTAGGACTACCGGCCGATGGTGCCCCGCAACGGCCGATGTGGCATGTGTTTATTGTTAGACGTAGGTATCACGGTGGGTTGGGATACTGTCAGGTTGGGCATCCCTGGACTGGAGGACGATTGGGCCTTCAACCAAAACCTTTGGTTCAGACTCCTAACGCAAGTCCGTGGTGTTTAGTGGGATACACAAGTGCACTATCACTTCTATGAAGAAGTCGCCACATGGTTCAACCCCTAGAATATCAGGAGACTGCGTTCGTCATACCGCTGAATAGTGACCAACCTGGGGTGAATGTTGTGTGAACAACCCCAGTATTGCTCAGTGGGTCACTGAGGGGCGCAAACAATTACACGTCGTTAAGTCTAGTCTCTTCCTAATAGTCTGAACCCAAGTACATCGTCGCGATGACGCCAACGTGACTGCCATTCCTTGACTGATGTCCGCTATTTCCTGGCCGAGCTCCTCCACACTCCTCAACAAGACTGTCTCAGTCCGCTGAATTTAGTCCAAAACTCTAAGGTACTCGTCAGCGCCCTGTGCCGTTTGCTCTTTCTGTGCATAACTCTAGGTTCTTTTATGATGACTATTTGGTCCCATGACCTACAGACACTTACTGCTCCGATGGTGCCAACCAGCGACTGTTCACACTCCTCAGAACCAAAACCATCTTTCTTCCCTATTCGACCTAAGAGAAGTTCGTCATCAAATAGTTCCATCCGCGGCGGAAGCTAATTCCGCGACAGCTAAAGGTAGTCTCACTCTTGTAACAATTGCAGGTTGAGTTCCGAAATGTCAAAGTTCACAAGATGCCTCAACGATACCAGCTTCATTATTCCGGCCTGCAATTTTCCTTCAGTAACGAACTTGCACCGTACCGTCCTCACGCGAATTGTGTTTCACTGTTTCCAATGTTCACAGTGTTACGATCATATCATCTTTGGACAATGCACATTTTTCTATGACTGTTTCACTTTCATGCATTTCTAGACGTCAGCAACTGGCGCCTGTCATCCATTTGTTCTGGCTGTACTATCATGATCACTGCGCCCTAGACGCACACCCTAAATTTCTCTGAAACCGCGGTTCGAACAAGGAAAACTTTTACATAAAGTTTGCATTTAGTGGTAAATATTCGGGCACCTTAGTTCTCCCCACGCGGCCGCAGTTTTATTGAAAGTTGATTAAGCGAACTCGGAGTTCACTGTTGGCGCGGAATTCGTATTTTAACGGCTGCAGGTGGCTTTTTCTGTCGTCTGTGTGAAAACGGTGGGAAATTTTGTGGCAAAGCTGCTTCCTTTGCGTGTTTCCTTAAGCGGTAGATCAGGAAATAATCTCAAAACTACTCACAAGGTTGCTGAAAACCCTTCGACCTTGTGAGCAGTTTCCTTTATGCAGATATACTGCAATATCTCGAATATCCTGCCAACTGAAACATGAGGCGACCTGTGTGTAGCACACTCAGTTGTAAGGAATCACAAACGAGAGATTTCGAGTCTCTCGTTAAAACCAAATTGATTTGAAAACGAGTGTGAATCTCAAAACCACTTAGACAATGGTCACGCCCATTACATCCGCGCAAACTCAAATTAGAGCAGGCATTCGCGACCAGGATATTAAAAATTCCTGTATGGCTGCGGCAAGCGTCCTGCTGAAGCCGAGGAATTCGTTGCAGTAAGTTTTTTGTTTTTTGTGACGGTCAGCATGTTTTATCTGGCTTAAGGAAAGGCTTGATCTTAATCGATATACCGAGGCACCAATAGTGCCGTTGGATAAACTATTGGGTTTGTGGACCGAATAATCAGATGGCACAATAAGATGGCCACTGCTCTCAAGTCCTTGCACAAATTAAACGGACTGAAACGGTCTTCTGGGTAACATTCACGTCTGGGAAATATTAGAGATATAGTGAACTACGGGCAGCCGTCAGACTGGGTATGTTAGTCGCGGTACCGTCATCGCGACGCCGTACTTCGGTTCGTGGACAGTCGCGTGCATAAACACCTTGGATGAGCCGTTTATGGTTGCCATCGTAGTTAGGATATTCTTGAGTCTATCAAGGTTTTGTGGTGGTTCATTGCTGCCACTCAATCGATGTACTAATACAACCGTGTTTACATTGGGGACGTAAAAAAGGAACTGTCCGAAAGGTTTGCTAGCACTTTGATCATCGCGACGCCGTACTTCGGTTCGTGGACAGTCGCGTGCATAAACACCTTGGATGAGCCGTTTATGGTTGCCATCGTAGTTAGGATATTCTTGAGTCTATCAAGGTTTTGTGGTGGTTCATTGCTGCCACTCAATCGATGTACTAATACAACCGTGTTTACATTGGGGACGTAAAAAAGGAACTGTCCGAAAGGTTTGCTAGAAAGCACTTTGATGTGAGTCAGAATGTCTCCCAAAATAACAGACAGTAAAAAATTGTCACAGTTGTTAACTACTTCAATGAGGCGGCCAGGTTTTGAAAATGGTAATCGATATGTATGTGCAGCTAATAGGTGTGCGGTCAATGAGACCTGGCGTGGACTTATGTGGGTTCGGGTTCAGTGCGTTGGCTAAATTGTGCGCAACTAGGGTAACCTACAAAGAAGAAAGGTCAGAGATATCTGATGGTGTTGCCTGTTCGTAAGATGAGCTGATCTCAGATTAGGGCTGTTACAGCCTAGAGAAAATCGTGGAGCTTTGCAAAATTAGTTGCCTCTGAGGCGTCACGTGTATCTTTCGTAAGATGAGCTGATCTCAGATTAGGGCTGTTACAGCCTAGAGAAAATCGTGGAGCTTTGCAAAATTAGTTGCCTCTGAGGCGTCACATCACGTGTATCTGGTGAGTATCGTAGCATCTTTTCCCCCGTCAGTGGACATTTCGGTTCACAGGGTGATTGCTCGGGAGCTATGCCTCCACCAGGGCAAGCTCAGACCGGAATCAGTCTTTTATCATCACGGAAGGCGGATTGTGAGGTTCATTATGCGAAAGGGGTATATTTTGGGGAGAAAGTATGCAGCTGAAGTGAAAGTTGTCAACCGTACAGTTTTTTGCATTGTCGTGGAAAGGAGGTGCGGAAGGGGCGGACATGTTACGGAAATGTTTGGGAGCTTCAAAAGCCTCTGTACACATATTTGTGTCCGTCGGGAGCAGCTTTTCTCCATTCGCACTTAATTCCTTGATCGACGAGGAAATGAGATGAACGCTGAAATGTCCTCTGGACCCAGCTTTCAAATATCTTGCAGAAATCTTGCCGATCTGGAGTATGCACACATCGTTCTCATCTCCGGAGGTGAGGAAAAGGTGCAGGTGTTTTTGGATGAACTGATCAAAGTCGTTCTGTACATTGGTGTGCACTTTGTACCCACAAAGTTTCACGTCATTATATCGATGTTTATTCCCGACAGACAGGTGGCGTACCATCAGGCATAACCATTAAATTCGTCAGAATAAAGTGTGAGTTTTTTGTAGTTGCATGTAATGGAACAAACGGGCGATAGAGTACAATCAAGAGAGGGAAGGGGATAGTTGCGAGTATGCTTTCAAACCGGGTATGGCAGTGCTATGCCATCATGGCACTGAAATATTTCGGTTTCTTGACTGCCAACCCTTGAGGAACCGGGGCCTTGGTATCAGCTGAACCTATTCCAAAATTGCTCTAAATGAAGCTCGCCTGGTCTATTGCATTAGGCACATGAATGACGTCAGTGCCAATTCCGAAGTCGCTAGGCAATGCGCTCACAGACTATCAGGAAGGTCAGCTTCCTGAAAGCAGCCACTGAATGCCCTGAATCTACGGAGACTCTCAGCTCCGCTAGATGTTCACCAGACAACGTCCCCTCAATAGGCAGCGCGTCACAGCCTTGAATCAAACCTAGGCAGCGCGAGTCAGCGTTGATCAAGGACAGACAATGCCTCCGCAATATGCAGCACATCGCTGCCTCGTACTAAAGCCAGACCGCGTTCGTCAGCATTGGACCAAGTTCAGACAGTGTCCTTCCAATAAAAAGCTTGAGGTCGTTGTACTTTTTGCATTCGCGCGCACTCACGCTCTCGCACCCGCTTTGCTGGAATATAGCTATTGTGTTCCCTTCCGTGAGTCTTTTCTCTCCGACACTAAGCACTGGAGCGGGTCAGCAGCAGATACCACAGGCCGGCGAATCAGCAGATGTAACACAGACCATCTAAAGGAATCTTGACTTACACAATGCCCTTCGTTTAGGCTTGGAGACCATGCAATCCAAACCATTTTGCACGTTCGGAAATGGCACCCAACGTGCAGAAACACAGCTCTTACGGGCAAGTTTCTTGAGAACATCGGGATGTGACCCACAGCCCATCTATGCAGGCCATGCAGACGCAGAAACATTGTAGCTGGGCCCGAAGAAAAACTGACTGCGTCATTCAGCACACCTACTTCTTTCCCGCCGACAAAACAAGAGGACCACAAATGTTGAATGCCAGTGAGTGGCCAAAAGCCTCTGAACATGGAGAGATTTGAGGTCAGCTGCATCCAAGTTTGAAGCAGTCATCCAAGGTCTGTACAGCGACAAGAGTTGAGGAAGCTCATGAGACTGAGACCATGTTAGCGCGAATTCCAAGCTGCCCTAGTTTGTCGTTTCAGGGAGAACTCCCAGTAGTGCTCAATTATGTGAACAACTGAGACATGGGCAAGTCACCCAGCATGCATTATAGGCAACATCACAGTTAGCATTACGATGAAGGGCAAAGATGCCTCAGGCCTATAGCTTGCATCCACTGAGATAGAGGTGCATTTACCCGAAATTATTCTGCCGATAACTAACTCACGCCGATGAACAGGGTATATTCTTACTTAGCTACACGCCTCACAGAACCCATCAGGCTTAAGTGGTTATCAGATACAATCGCGTAACAAAAACAGAAGCAAATCCATATCAAGGCCGATCGCTATACTGTGGCTCTGGAAAACCCTAGTTGCTGAGCCACTAGAAGTGTTCTTCTCAGATTCCTAAAGACCAGTCAAAGCTGAATGAGAGAAAGGTGCTCCTGCAAAACGGATCTACCATTCTTCGCGTTGGCCTGGAGGTTTTTGTGCATAGCATTGCTCACATCGGCGCCACGCATCTCAAGACTTCAAGAGTTTGACAAAGCAAATTGTCAGCTGGGGTTCCCGGGCTATCCCTTCTTGTTTTTCCACAGCTACGGAAAGTTTGACATCCTCTTGATCATCGCAGACGTGAATATATTCGGTGCATACTCCATACTTGGCAGGAAAACTTTTGCTCATACGCATAATCACCCCAAACCTTTGGCACAAATTAGACAAACGTTTGCCATTTGAGCACAAACCAGCACTCGGTGATCGCACAATGGAATTGAACTTTCGAAGGCTACGACGTGCCACTGATAGACCAAAACAGATAGGCAACTGAGTTCATAGCCCCATCTAGGCATTCCGGCGTTTAAGCAATGCTGGGAAAATTTCCACCGGACTTTTACCACAAGAGGTACTGTTGCCTCAATGGACAGTGAAAATTGGTGAGCGACAAAAATATGAACATAGATTAAGATGGTTTTTGATTTGAACACACACGGCAAAGTGCAACATTCTGGAGCAAAAGGTTCTACCCTACACGCAAATGTTTTATGACAGAGAGCATTGTGCGGCTAATGGTTAAAGTTGTAAGCCACAATCGTAGTAGCCCGTGGGAAAGACAATCACGGGGTCACAATGGCCTGGAAGATCGGGTCATTGTTTACAGTGGACTTTGTTGCTTGGCGCATTTCTCTTTGCCTTTTCTCACAACTCCAACAGTTAAAATGAAAAGAAAAATAGAGCGGAAGAGAAGAAAATAAGGACCAATGCAGAAAACAGGAAAAAGAACAAAAGGGAAGATGGCCAAATTCTACCATTTAGATATCTGTCGCCGCCTTCTGGCAAGCTGAACAGTAATCCATTGTACATGAACAACGCTAACCTCACGTTACACATTCAAAGATCCCAACGGAACAACCGGGTGCTGTTGCTCCTCGGGACCCGCTACAGACTTTTGAAACCATCAATCCAATTTGCACCCATTCCATCATTCTTTCCATTTCTATATGAGGTTTCGTACTCCAGTTACCCCACCACCGTCACTCGTTAGAACATTTCTTGTGTACATATGATCATGGAGTCCTTCAGTACATGAACTTGACGATTCCTTGAGCCTTAACAAATCTGCGGCCTTGCACTGATGGGATTGAACTAAATTGAGTTAAACGAGTGAAAATTGTTTTAGTCGATCCTCCGGAGCTAGTGGCGAGATTTCAACCTCTGACAGGCATGGTGAGTTTGACGTATTCTGACAATATTTCGTGCAGCCGAACAAACCGAAGAAGGTTATCAAGGCAAAGAAGATAAAGGAGATCACACATGAACCCGTTGTCACAGAACTGAAAAAAGGAAAAGGGTCGAAAGTAGCTGCTCTTCCAGAGATAGCGAAGAAGACCGCTCCGAAGAAAAAGATTGTGAAGAACCCCTTGATCCAGAGCCGACCGAGAAACTTTGGGATAGGGCAAGCTGTGCAACCCAAGCGTGACCTTTATCGGTTTGTCAAGTGGCCGAAGTATGTCGAACTGCAGCGAAAACGGGCTATACTCAAACGTCGTCTCAAGGTCCCTCCGGCGATCCACCAGTTTACCCAAACACTTGATCGCGCGACAGGTACTTGTGTTACCAAATTTCATTTTCTGAAGCCATGCAGGTGTTCAATCTAGCTGAAAAATACCAGCCTTTAACTAAAAGGGCTAAGAAAATGATGCTCATCCACAGAGCCCAGTTGCGTGCTGAAGGAAAGGCTGACGAACCGGTCGCGCGGAAGGCAGTCTTGCGCGCTGGTATCCGTGAGGTTACGTCCGCGATACAGCAGAAGAAGGCTCGCTTGGTCCTGATAGCGCATGACGTAGAGCCAATCGAGATCGTGCTTTTCTTACCTGCCCTTTGTCGAAAAATGGGTGTCCCCTACTGTATTGTGAAGGGCAAAGCAAAGCTTGGTCTTTTGGTTCATCGGAAGACGTGCTCTTGCGTAGCATTCACTAATGTCAGGGAGTAAGTTATCTTCGAGCCCTAATATTGCTCCCAGGGAGGATAAGTCACGTATGACAAAGTTGGTTGAGACAGTCAAGAACAATTACACCTCCAGGTTTGATGAGGTAAGTATCCTTCCGTTTTGGTCATATTCCGCAGATCCGAAAACATTGGGGCGGTGGAATCCTTGGATCGAAATCGCAGGCGCGAATCACCAAACTAGAGAAAGCCAAAGCGAAGGAGCTGCAGATCAAACTTGGTTGACCGTCTTTCCTAAAATATACATTTGGGCTACAGCTTCCGTTGTAATGATTGCGATTAGTATTTTTGGTACGCCGGCGCACACGCTGAAATTGCCCGTGGAATGGATGGCAAGACCCAGTGGTGATGGGTAGAACACCATGCATGTATTTGTGGATACAGATGTCCGTACTCGCTCGAAAAAATGACAAACAAATTCATGGTGATGTATATGCTCTACATTATGCACCTGACAGCGTTTTGGATGCGAGGTAGCTCAATGGTTTCAGCGCAATTGTACTGGCCCGAAGTTCCGCGATTCAAACCTTACATCTTCATCTCGACTTCTGTCGAGGTTTGGGCAACCTGGCGGAATTCAAGCCGTCGTTCTTCCTTCAGGTAGCACGGCAGCTAGGCGCCGAAAGAATTGTAGCTGAACAATAATCTTTTACGGCGATCGTGTCGGTGGTTAGAGTAGCACATTTACATGCTTCAGAGTACGCTGGCGGCGCCTTCACTTCTCGCCCCGATTTTTTCTACTGCATGGAAAGAGCTTGATTACCATGCACGATACCTAAGAAGTCCATGAGAAAAATCGGTCTTCGTTCATGTTTCATGTCCAGTTGCGTTTTTCGGTATGCGTGTTCTCCAAGCGCGCGGCTGCTGCTGGAATGAATTAATGGAATATGAAAAAGGAGGGAGATCGCATTCTTCTTGTTGAACGTCGCTTTCATGGCTGAGACAGATACTGTGGATCACGAGGCCCCAAACTCGACACTGCTGTGGGGCGTCGTGATTTCCCTTATCTACCTCGGTTTCGTTCATTTCTAGGTTTGAATGCCATCTTACTTTGTCGGGAACAAAGTGGGGGGCGTGCAAGCCGGATACTCGGCCGTTTGGCTGCTGATTATGCAGTTCGTTAGCTACTGCTTTGGTTAAGTATTCAAAAACGAATCCTTGTCATTCAGAACGGACCGCCTCTTAGCGCTCGTGCAGAATGTTCGGCGGTTAATAGTCTGCACGAAAGCATACAATGGATTTCCTACTCAGGTCACCTTATGGAGGTTCGGCACTTCCGTCATGCTTGAAGCCAGTACAACACGCACTGATAGCCGCTGTTAGTTATATACTGTGGGAGCCGCTCAATCTGCATGCGTTCTGAACCCGAGCACTGGAATAAGTATCCATGACCACTGTGCAACGTATTTTTTACAGCTTAGGATGGCACCCTGTTTACGGAGTCGAATGATTTCCTAAAATCGGGAAAAAGCTAGGTGGCGCACATAGCGCCATTCAAACGGTCATGATCTGCCGTCTACTTGGAAATCTCCCCCCTTACTCTCGAACTTTCATATCAATTGTTGAGAGAAGTTGGTGACGTTATAATGGCATATATGGAACTTGTAACTCCGATCTGTCTATTTCGACTGCTCCTGTCTAGGCTTGAGTTACCTGACAGTTTGTCAGCTTTCTTGCCTTCGAGGGGCATCGTAACTAAGCACGAAGCAGATATTGCCAGATTACCTAAGCCTAGACGAAGCCTGTCAGCATGCAGAGGTTGAGTTCGAACCACGGACCTTCCGGTCAGTAGCCCCACGCTTTACCCATCTCGAACTCAAATTGGTTATTTGTCGGTAGAAAGTGTCTGAATTGCAGCTGCCTTAGGTTGTTGCAATAATAGGTGCCTTTAATAAGGGGCCGTCGTTATTCCTAACGCGTCATTATGCAGGCGGATAGTTGCGTATGGGTATGCAACCGAGTAAGTAAGCTTTAGCTCGTGACTTGAGGATGCGTCCTCCCACGGCGCTACAGAGTCACCGGAAGTGCCCAAATAGTTAGGGTTGTGTCCGCTCAGTTAGTGTACCTGGATCTTGTATCCGAGCTTCAGAAGTTTGACAGTTGTCCGTGGGTAAGGTGCCAGCAATGCTCGCCAGAGCAGCTTTCTGGCCTGCTTGTTTAATTCTAATGCTCCGACAGAGATAAAAAACGATTTGAATAGCAAGTGTGAAGCGGGAGGTAAACGACCATCTTCCTGGGTGCATGGCTTACATATGGCCGACTAATTCATCACAATTGGCGTCTTCTTGTCTACCCTTACCAAACAGCGAGGCTCTCATCTGCAATCTGGGACACAACTGGAGGCAACTACTTCTACCCCGTTCCGATTACTCCGTGTACTCAGCGTTATAACAATGGGGTACCTGTTAACGAATAGCCTGTCGGAGGAAAATCGCCACCACCTAGAGATAGCGGTTGGAGGTGAAGTTAGCACATATTGACCACGGTGGTTCGCAGCGGTGTACTCCAAAACTGGCCGGGTTTGATAGCGCCCGCTCTTATTGTGACTAGCCATGCTCTGATTGGGTCGTCAGAGGGAAGTGTATGTTGCTTGTTTTCATAGTGGTATATCTTTTCGAAGTGCTTGATCAGTTCTGTTAACTTGGTGTCGTTGAGTGGTCAGTGGGCTGAAGTTTCTTGATCCAAATTAATCACAGATATCCGAAACAGACCTTTCAAGCACTGAATAGTTTCAGCCAACGAGAACTGTATTTTGCACCTGATTAGCGGATTCGTGGATGCCGACCTGACCTAATGGCGATTCAGCGAAGCCTTGTTTCAGCCAGAGGTAGGCCATTCTAACGGTTAGTCCAACTAGTAGTTGTCAAGAAGCTCGTCTTTTTGATTGTCGAATGGAATCCATTTACCGAAGCCCCTTCAGCAAGTGACCTCTCAACACATGACACGGTGGAATTAGTTTGTAGCAAACCGAAAGGTTTCGACTGTAGGATACGCCCAATCGGCAAGAAACTCCCAGGATTAAGTTTCTCTATGGGGCATTTATCCGGCCGAGAAACGCGTTGACCAGGACGTTACCATCTGTCGGGAATTGAGTGGAAGTTTGTCGGATCTGGTTTTCAACTACTCGCTGAAGCATGCTAGGGATCAGCAGCACATAATGCTTTGATCCCCTGTTTTGAGGGATGAAATCAGTTCGGCTGGTCCACTACGGCTGTTTTTTATACAGCTTACAGATTCGGTCAGCATCTTTTGCTCACATTGAGGAGTGGAAACTCTTCCGTTTTGTTTGATTGGGTTGATAAGTGCGTATTCATACCGTTCCTAGTCGATCTAATTGGTTTCTTTCAGAATCGGTCGAACAATGCGTTCATCATTCGAAGCTCGTAATAGTGGTGTTCCTTAGATTGAACAGCTGGATGTGTGGTTCGAGTATTTCCTTGTACATTTGTTTCAACCAGTGAAAGTCCATTCGCCACGCTGTCTGCAGTGTATGCATTTTAAGGCACATTGTTTCGGTCAGCAAACTTTTACGTGTTTTTCACTGCTTCTTACGTCACGAAGTGGCTAGTGTAACGCTTGTGTCTCAATGACCCATTGAGCTATACAGAAAACTGTCAATCTGTTGATCAACTACATGTGTGCAACCCTGCATAGGCTTCAATAATCGAAGGCTAGTAGCACAATCGCGACGATTCACGCTCAATGCTGAACGAGTCGCGCCCTACAGGTCTCATCTTGTGGTTTTCGAGCCTCAGTAGCACGATGACCGTGCCGACTGCACTGACTGTGCTAGGTAGAAGCGACCCGAAGATGGAACTGGGGATCAAGTGTGAATGCGCTAACCAGCAAATTCAGTTTGCTTGCCAATTCCCTCACTGTATTGGACTGCGGTGGATCTTTGTGCTCTGTCGTACAGTACTATTTTATCCTATTCGAATTAATTTACTTGTATGTATTTTATGCGTGCGTAATAATGGAATCCCTTAAGATAGGACTTAACGGATTGTTAAACTCAACCTGGTTTTGGAGTTGACTATGAGAACATCGTCGTAGAGATCCAGCTGAATGACGACTGTCCCTAGCTAGACATGCCTGAGGTGGGTGTGACTTGCAGGCCACGGGACCACCCTTCGGACACAATGGGTAAGGGCGGTTCAGTTATCCCCACGTGACCTAAAAATTACGAGCCATCAGTTGGGCATACTGATGGTCTAGTTCTCTCCTGTTCACTCTCCAAACTTACTCCCTCTTGTCTACACCGGACATGGGGCTTTCGGTTGGCTGAATACGAATCAGCCCACACTGCATGCGACATTATTGTGTTCTGGGTTCGGTCGGAGAAAACGGACGCCATCACATCATCTGTGAATGGATTTTCTGTTGAAGATCCATCGGACTATAATTAAAGCCCATCCATTTGGCCGAAAACACCTTACTGTGCACAAGTATGCTTCCATGATCACGGTTAACCTATCGCGATGACCCATTTCCACCAACAACATGGGAAATAGGGGGAAAATGCTTCTCGTTGCCTCTTAAAAATGCTAAAGGGAATAATGAGAGTAACAACTGGTCTTAAAGTACAATGTTTGTATTGACAAGAACGAGAAGTGAATGGGACATAAGTGAGGACTTTCTCATAAACGAAACAGTGCTGATACCGGGTGAGGTAGTGAATAAAATCTGCGCGTGACTAAGCATGATTTGTGCACATTGTGCCTCTTCAACTGTACGCTGGGAGACTCAGGAAATCATTCAGAATGTCACAGAAGTTGTGGGGAAGATTCGAGAGGTTTTTAATGAGCCCCGGACAACAGAACTGGGCAGCGGGCTGGAGCCGAAATACCGTCAATAACCTGATGGTTTCCCGCACTTTGGTACTTACGGACATTGTGAGTAGTGTGTTTGAAGAAAATTCGTCTACCCAGGATCCTGGTTGAATTGAACCAAAAAAACAGTCTTCCAGCTGAAGAACGACAAACGCGGGGTCCTTTGACTTCTATCTTATTACCAAAGTGCTTTGTGGATGAGTACATAACTCTACGACTTGAGAGGCTCTCAATCTGAGTATTCTATTAGCAGCTCTGTAGCTTGATATGAGCTGAAAAGTGAATGGGGCCGCTTCGCTTACTCAATACGGCATCTGAGTTTTGCGACCTTTCATGTTTTATATGTTAAAATCTAAAGGGAATGACGTGATAGAATTTGATGGTTTTTGAAATCAACATACTTTCCACCAGGCTTACGCCATTGTGGATGCTTTATCCTTTCGTCTGGCGACAGGGACAATACAAGTGTAGGCTCACGACTTCCATAAATATTACGGATTTGGTCTCCCTTTATCAACAGTGTTTTCACGGTCTTTGAGGACACCAAGGAAACATTTGGCTTTCCATGGACACAGGTGTTACTTTCAGATTTATCCAACACTGGCTTCACACAAACCACGTGTTGATTAATTACTGACCAATATGGTTCACAGTGGAGGTCAAGAATTCTAGCCTCTGGCTGTCCAGTGTCATCCAGTTTCTGGTCTGTTCATCAGGCAAAGGCATTCTGATGGTGATGATTACCAATTCGTGGTGACAGTCTGCCTTGTCTCACCATTTCACACTCTATCAGGTGCCAGAACAACGTCATACGTACAAACGACCCACAATTTTAGTATTCCTGGATTTCCTTGGCGCATTTCACCTGGTTGATCGGTCTGTTCTCATTGGCACGCTTGACCATCAAGAAACATCTCGGAAGTTCGTGATCTTCTCAGACTTCCGGACGTGTGAGAGCATGTAGGGATCTCTCAAAATCTTCTGTACACAAAACAGTGTCGGTCAGCGGTGCCCACTCTCCCCATTCCTATCTAAATTCGTGACCGATGAAATAATGAGCCGAACGCTGGGAGGTCTTAAAAGCTCCGGTATTCAAATGGTACTTGGCGAAAACCTTGTCCATCTGAAATATGCAGACGACATCGTTTTCGTATTCGAAGGGGAGGATAGGGCGCAGTTGTTCTACGGATAAAGTGAACATAGTCGTCCCGCCTTTTGGTATGCACTTTCCCCCCACAAAGTGTAAGGTCATGTCTGTGAACATACAGTCACTGAACACGCCATTCACAATCCAGGGGAGGCACTCGAAGTTGTGGAGCGTTTGGTGTATCTTGGAGGTTGTATTGGGCATGGTTGTAGTGTGACACGAATCTGCAAGGCACGGATCGCGTTTTCCAATTTGGGACATCTATGCAGTCAAAGCTGTGTATCCATGAGTCTCAAGGGACGTGTGTATCAGGTTACAGGACGGGCTGTTTTGAATGGCTGTAAGAATTTGTCTGTTTTAGCAGTGGAGCTGAGACATCTTCAGGTGTTCGACAACCGTTGTCACAGAACCGCAGCTCGTGTGGGTTGGTGTCGGCGAACCCGTAAAGAAGTAATTAAGAAGTGAGATTTCGGTTGTGCCGTGGGGATTTCCATTGGTGAATGTGTCTAGCACCAGAGGCTGCGTCGGTTAGCCATGTCATGCGCTCATGTATTCCAGTCCACCGCTTGTGGGTCGTGTAACACTGGTAGCGTTGTTAGTGCCTAGAACGAAGAGTACTCACCGAAAGTAGTTCTTCAGCCTGCACTGCTCATGCAGTTTAACTCGTAGTCACAGACTGTTCACAGTCTCATGTGTGCTGCCTTTACTACAAATACAGATGAGTTTTATCCAGTGTGTACTTTATAGTTGTGCTAAAATTCTTGATTCCGGTTGGAAAAAAATATTAGGAAACTCCTTTCTGCAGATAAACTCCAAGTTCCAGTCGAGCAGTCCCAAGTGATCTTTCACGGGAAATTGGCCGTCTTAGGAGATAACTCGTGGTCTTCAAATGCTACATCAACTTTTGGTGACGAAACATTTGTAAGTTGATGACCGAGCTCGGCAAACAGGTTAAAAGTAATCGAAAGCCAATAAACGCACGCGAACCACTAGTATTTCGACATATTACCAGATTAAGGAAAGATTTACGGAAACAGGAGACAAGCTGACTCGATAGAGTTTAAGCTTGGAATAAATTCTGGTTGGCTGGCAATTGTGGCACTAACTTCGAACGCCGTGTACCTAGGAAGGTTTCTCATTGTGTAGACGTATTTACAGACCTTTTGTTAGCGGCTATTCAATAACGGGCATAATTTGTGCGCTCCGTGCCGCCAGGTGATAAGCGAAATTGCATCCATAAAATTAGCTGTGGAGACTGCAGCTGCTGCAAATATGTCACCTAAGATAAAAGATAATAATAAGATAATAAATAAAAGATACAAATACACTCAAATCCAGACGTGCTAAGTAAGCTGAAGAATCAGTTGTTGAGGAGATCATTCAGAGAACCGCAACTAGACCAGAGAAAAGAGACGCGGAACGATGCTTTACTGAATCTTGAGCCGTTCACATGCATAGAATATGCATCAAGCGGAATGGTAGTCAACACAAGTCAGCCGCAGTATTTACTATAGACCTGCAGTGGTGGCGGCCTCACTTATGGCTGCTGAGTAGAGTGAAAACAATCAACTATTCTTATCTTTTACGGTAGTCAAACGTGTCTGATTCATATGTAATTTGCTCATTCCCCTCTTGTGAGTAACGGAAATGGTCCTCTTATATCGTCTAAGTCATTCAGGTCAACGTCTCATAAAAGGCCCGAACTTTCCGATGTCGTTCGCACCGAATTCTGTACTAGCACGTCCAATTACCCACACATTTTCGCCACTGAATTATGGATGTGTGATTTTTAAGCGGGATATACTAACCTGTTTAAAGAACAGATTTTCACAGGGCCTCAAACTATACGCATGAGCATAGCTACCTGTCGGTTATAAATAGTCCTTTGTTGAGCATGTGAACAAAACGAATACTCGCCTAAGTCTGAATGGAAGCTTTTGTTGTAAACTGGTTACCGTGAGAGATTTCGAACAAAATTGCAATGATACACACAGGATTATTTTGGGAGGCTGGACGATTTGTTTAGATTAACAGTGTTACAAATTAATATTTCCAGTGACGCCTCATTAGGAGAACAAACATTAATGAACCGCGACTAATGAGGAAGAGAAAACAGCTCATTGCCATATGAAGCAAATGAACAATTCGTGTTGAACATGGGTGCTGCTATTTTTCTAACCAACAAGCATTTTGAACCCCAGAATTATTCGTCTCATCCTACCCCGGGTAAGTGGTAAGTTAAATTCGTACAATTCGCAGCCCAGAAACCGTCATATGAAGTTACACAGCTGCAATCAGCGCCCATTGAACCCTTAGGCTGGTGGAAGGCTTACACGATCGGTCAGTCTAGGCCTCAGAAGTGGGCTCAAGCAAGGACGAGTGACTTCACGAGTTTGGACTTTGCTTCGTAATTTGAAAAAAATGAAATAAAATCGGCAGAAGTTCATTGCTTCTGAGGGTAATTCGTTTGCAAGCGAGGCAGTGAATACGCGGTTTGTGCTTACTGGTACTATGCATCGAAAAAAATGGTTGTAATGTTAGCGGAGATACAATCACTTTCAAAATAATGTTTTTTCGAGAGACTCATCTAGAACCCAGCTGAGTCTCTCGGTTTTGATGTTTCCATGATCCCAGTTGAGTCTCTCGAAAAACTGAATTAGTGTGTAAATGGGTGCATATTCTCTAATTTCGTGCAGTTTGGTTTGAAGTAGAACATAAGGGTGACGGAAACTCGGGGACTGCATCTGACCGGTGAGCCTCAAGAAGGGCTGTCGACGGATTTTCTGCAACCTTATGAGTAGTGCGTTACAAAAATATGGTTGTACTGTTCTTTTTACTCGATTCCATCGTGGCTGAATATTCATGAACAAGATTTGGCATTTTACCTTCGAAGACCAACCACTGAACAGGTGCCGTTTTTTATGATTGAAATTTTGGTGAGGTTATTAATGAACTACGCAACTTCAGAATGCCGACACAGCATCACTCTTTTCAGGTCAAGTGGTATCCAGTGGTACCCCTTAGAGATGCCTCAGTGGTAGTCTGAACAGATCACTCCAAATAGGAGCATGCAAGAAACTCATAATTTCCAGTATTCATGTTGACGCCTTCTGTATATAAAGTCTGTAAAATCCAACGGGCTGCATAGAACGCTTTTTCAAAAGGCGGTTACAAACGGCGGTTTACGCATAGACTCTCGGCCTGATATCCAGTGACAGAAGAAAGGAACCCGGAAACCATCGGAAGGACATAGACGTCGACGGGTTAGGGGAAAACTAATGGTCACATCAGATTGCCTTTGGATGTGTACGACAATATTTGTAGAGTGATGTCACCAAACTATGAGACTCACGTTCAGACGTCCGGAGTTAAAATCCCAGCATGGCTCTAATAAGAGCAAAACTGGGATCTAGTGCTACACTCTTCCGCATGGTTTCATCAGAATGACCGCAAGGTGACAGGACAATGACTGATTAAGCTAGAGTGATGCGATTACAAATGTGAGAGCCAGAAAATTCACCTTGGATTTGTCCATACATGCGAATAGTTGGCATCCGAATTGACGGATTTTACAGGTTCCACGCGACATAAACGCTACATATCCGTTAGTTGCAAGTAGATTATCTAGATCCTATCTTTTTTGAAAGGGTACTTTTGGTGAAACTCATGTTAAGTATTGCACACTTTCCGGGACATATCGGTAGCGACAAGTTGCTCCACAGAAATCTCTGAGTATACTTCCGGTGTAGGATTTCTTGATAGCGAAAGTGGAGCGCGCGAGTCTAGACTCGAGAAATATTTGATATATGTCCGAAGCATTACCCGCAGTCTGCCCACGAATTTTTTGACGAAGTTGAGCCCTTGCGACCAACCAGAGTCAACATTAGAATTGGCAAGGATATAACTCAAACTATCACATAACATTGTGAGTTTTGTTCCCTAAAATGTGCCACGTGAATAGTTGGGTGAATTTAATCAGGTCACTGTGTAGTTGGACATATGTCTAGTGTATCTAGTATATATACAAATAGTACAGTACATACAGTATATATAGTACAACATGGTAAAGGTCCGTGTGACAGTCTTTATTTACACATTCTAAGCAATCCTGTCCAACATAAATCATGAAGTGATTTTCCGAATAGCTCTAACTACTATTTATAGAAACGAATTCGTCTGCCATAGGGAACCCTCACTATCTGACCGAAACGACAAATCCCTTTAGCAAGACGCGTTGATCCCAGGCTAATCGGGAATAATCGGATGCTGAAAATTTGCCATACCACCCAGACCGTAAATGAAACCAGATATAAATAGATCTAGTCTGACAAATTTTCATGGGATTTTTCCGAAACGAATAGTCATCTATTATTATTATTATTTCGCAACAGGACATGTTGGTTCTTTTGTGAGCGCCTCATTTTCTTTGTAGGCTCATGGGAATGAATCACAAACACAAATCAACAACACACTTTCATCTGGAAGTATCCAATCAGCGCTGAGCACATAAGATATGGGTGAATAAATGCACCGTCTTCCGAGCACAGTCTATACTTCTCATGATGATTCTTAGAGTGTACAGTAGAGTACTAATTTGTATGCTCGCCTGGTTCTTGAGTAAGTGAAACTAAAATTTCTGCATCCCTTCAGGTCTTTTAAGATTGTGAAGCCGTTAGCTAATGCTCACGCTAACAACAGGACGATGCCCGCTTAACAGTGTCTACAGTCTACGTGGCCAAAGGTGCTTACGGTTTAAACTTACGCGTATCCAGCTGAAGGAATACACTGTAGCCTCAGGTGTCCAGGTTTTGAGATAGGTTGCAGCAGGTTTCTTAGAAACGAACAAAATTACAAGAACTTTCTCTCGAAACGAATGTATTTTTCTCTCTGAGCGAGTGCATCGCCGCTCAACTCAAACAAACCATTACACCCACATGCAAACAACTTTGGTTTCTCGATAGACTCACCTGGAACCCAGTTAAATCTATTGTTTTTATGATGTTTCGGCAACCTTATGAGTAGTGTATTGCGTCTATACATGTATCGCGATATCCCGAATATCGTACTAACTGAAACATGAGGCGGCCTGGTGCAGCACATTCATTTGCTTAGAAACATCATCAAAACGAGAGATTCAGCTGGGTTCCAGGTGAATCTCTCGAAAAACGAAATTTTTTGGCAAATGAGTGTATTTTGCTAACTTTGTGCAATTTGGTTTCAAGTAGAACACAGACTGACGGAAACTCAGGGACTGCATCTACCTGATGAGCCCTAAAAAGGGCGAAACCGGTGGTGGGCTGTCGAAGAATTTTCAGCAACCTTATGTGTAGTGTATCACGTCTGAAACATTACTTTATCCACCCATGAGAGGTAGTCTTCAGCGGTCAGAATTTTGTCAGATATAAAGTACGAGCGGCAATCACTAGACCTTTAGACGGGGAATTGAGTTGAAAAAGCACTGGGCGACTGGACCGGATAGGATTATAGTTAACGAATGAATCAATCAAATATGGGATAACAGTGCTGCTGTATGTGGCAGTTCTTGAAAACCCGGTATTGATTCGTAAGCTAGTGTTGAAGGTGGAGATAACTTTCAAAGTGTCAGTATCTGAGGATGCACGTTGACAAGCTATGGTTTTAAACGAATATCTATCATAAACTCCAAGGTGTCGAGTAGTGGTAGAATCAAGAGAACTACACGGGAATATGGCCTAAATTTGGAGGACAAATTCGGAAAACCAGACAAAGGAACAGCAAAACCGACAGGAGAGGATGCAAGGGAATTTTTCATATGAATTCTGTTGGGATAGGAAGTAAGCAATAAATAGACGAACACCTTAATTTATCGAAAGTGCAATGGTAACACTCACACTTGGAAGGCCTTTTGGGTCAAAGAATTTACTTTGGGTAATCTGAACTCATATGAAGCTCTATCGGGACTGCACCGTAACTGTTCCAAGCATATTATAGCAGCTATGTTAGGATTACGGAAGATAGTAGCGCCATCGCTTCCGAAGTCGTCAGATCGCTTTAACTGAATAACGTCACCTTCAGGATTCGAACGAAGCCAAACTTCACGGGACCTGAGTACGGAGACGTTTATATATTCGTCATGATGTCTAGCGACTCGGAAAGAATATACAACTTTCCGTCCACCGCGCACACAATGCATCGCGAAGGTTGAATTGTTAGCTCACGCTCACCACTGCGTCGTCTTCAAACGCCTCATTAGCCTGTATGAGGTTTCCCGTCACAATATGACTCTCATACAGGTTGCAATTTTGGGTTCACACCTTTCGCGTTAGGGTTTTAGAGAAACCTCCGCCAACGAAAAAAAAGAACTAGTTGATAAGAAAACAACATCCGGCTCTATGTGTAGAAAATTCCGTTTACTAGTGAAGTGACAATCTCACTGCCACGGGTAATTTGAAGTCCCAACCAATATTGTTAAGTAGCGGAGATTTTTTGCCTTAAAAAACTCTTAGAATAAGCTGAAAAGATAGCCTAATCAGATTGTTTAACTGTATGTAGGATGACGAAATACACTGCTTTCAATAAGCAGGTGTTTGTGCTGGAGACCTTGAATTTACGGCGTACAAAAACAATCCAGTTCGAAGGAAACATCATCTCATTCTGTCTGATCGCATAAGCTGGTAGATGGGGCAATCACGTGGATCTAAGACTGCGTCAGTGTAAGTGGTCGATGCAGCGGCTTGCTGGTAGCTATAAATGACATACACAATGACATGTTGGAGGCTGTCATACTTGATGAAATGTCACTGAGAGAGTGATTTTCATATGCCGGCGAATAGTGATTATATTTGTGTTTGAGTCAGAGGAGAGACTTTTCCTCAGAGGGTTACTATTTTCTGGAGTTAATGCAAGTGACTAAAGAAAGTGCGCAATAGATAGTTTGGCATATTGCGATGTTTATTTTTCAGGATGACGTTCAGGAGGTAGTTTGCGTTGGTCTATGTTTTGACGGTCTTCAGGTTTTAGAAGTGACCCGGACAATGTGACTGTTCACATTACTTATATCCACACCTAAGGGGCCGCGACAGCTGAAAAACTCTCGCACACTTTTATGGGCTTGCGGTGGGACGCGGGTTGAGGAATCGAACTGAAACTGATTCAGTTTTCGATGGATATTATAGTAAAACATAAGACAGAAAGGTGGATGTGAAGAGTGGGGGCACGAAAAATGACAGATTTGGGAGTAAGAGTACAAAGGCTTGTTGAAAATGATACATTACCAATGAGACCGGACAAACATTACGCAACTAGCGCCAGGGATTCCTGTGTACCGCTTGTGCCTTTAGGAGACAACTTCATCCAGTATTTAGTTGCAAAAAGCTCGATAATTATAAAAGGCACACAATATAAAGTTTTTCAGGCGTGTTCCGCCCATATATCTCATTCGCGCTCTTCAGGAGACACGTAACCTAGCCCCGAATGACTTTTAATCGCGCTAGATTCAATCAGTGCCAAGGTAGGTTAGACAACAGTAACACCAACAGCCAGCTTGCTCGTGACAGCCACTTCTTACCATGCTTCAGTTTTACCCAGAGTGCATCAAAACGACCAAAATTACCCATATGACACTAGTATCTTTAGTGTAAGCTGAAATACATGTCATGTGGAGTAAAGCAAATACATTTCCTCGGAAGCTCGCATAGAGTATGGACAATAGACTTTTGACTATGGTTCCGGATTTGAGTGTATACAATTCTGTTTTCTCCGGAACCATTACACTGGGCAATAAATTTTATGTAAAATGTTTGGTTCTTTGTAGCAGTGAATGGACACCCACATAGGCATTTCGTTCGATCAACGGTGACAGGCGATTTTGGCCTGAAGTCAACTATCGACCAGGATGGACGTGATCATGTGAAACCAACTCCTGTCCGACACATTGGTGAGTTAAACGGTAAAACAAGAGTTCATTTGAAGATGTGGCCAAGCACTCGATCATATGCCGAGATTCCAGTTTTCTTTCGACTAACTTTGTTCTATGCTAATCAGCAAAATCCCACATCATTGAATGCAGAAATCAATGGAGCATTCGTACTCTGTCTAAAGTACCGCTGGTTTAAACTGTCGATTGAATGTTCATTCCTCACAATGAAGTGATGTTTCGCAGGCAATCGCTTACGTTAGTAGTTTGAGGGCTCCTTATCACTTACAAAAACCCTCATTAATAAGTGGTTCATCGCTTGCGATAAAAGGCTTTATTTTTACAACGAGTCTTCTTTGCCGTCCTTAACAATCTCCGTATTGATCATGTTCTAGATTTTTCAGAAGAATTAAGGCCGCTTTCACCTCTCTGTTCTGCCAGGGTGACTAAGACAGACAACTTAGCAGGCTCTAGCTCAGAATTTGTGTCCCGGCTTGTAAGTAGCTGAATATAGACAATGACATAGCATCGAGGATCAGCGACTACTTCTACTTCGAAGGTGGAAAAGTGGTGAGGAAGGCACTCCCAAGATCTGCTCTGTTTTGTGCATCACTTTACCCAGTGACATCTTTTACCAATGAGAAGTTGAGTAGTGCTTCACCGAAAAGAACTCAAACCAGTTTTCCTCACCAGCCAAATTCTCTTAAACAGAAGGAACTCGTTATGATAAGTATCTCTNGTATCTCTTCCCCTATACTGCTCACACTCAAGGGGGGGGGGTGGGCGGCGGCTTCTATCACCATCTTGACGAAGCGAACCACTCACAAGGCTGCTCAAGACTCGATGACATCTTACAACCGGTATCACTCTTCTTGGAGCTTACAATATGGGGAAAATCACTCAATGACCGTCAAACCTTTATTCCACCTGAACACCTAGTTATGCAAAATCTGAAAATCATACTAATTCGCCAAATAATTCGAATGGTTTGTTGGGTTGTGTTGAATTTTTCGGAAGTTCCCAGTTCGTAGTGTTAATACGGAGTGTACGTATAGTTGGATAATTTTCTTCTCTGTTTGAATGCCTCATTTTTTCAGTTGTTCATCTGGAAGTTCCAGAGTCAGTGGTCTGGCGATCTCGTATTTCCGACAAGAAAATAAGCAAAGTTGGACCAAACAGACTCTGCCGAATGGTAAGTTTGATAAATGCTTGAAGTCATGTGACTCGATCATAATGCCGCACTTTTGCGTACAAAGCCTTGATACATACAAATTAAGGGCTATGGGTGCAGACCGTGTGTACAAAGCACTGTCGTTCTTGATTGATGCGCATTTTCAAAAAATCGAAGAATTCAGAACGTATTCGCATGTGGATTTTTCCAGGTTAGCATTGTTGAGGTAAACTGCAATAAAATGTTTTCCTTCATACATACAAATTAAGGGCTATGGGTGCAGGCCGTGTGTACAAAGCACTGTCGTTCTTGACTGATGCGCATTCCCAAAAAATCGAAGTATTCAGAAGGTATTCGAATGTGGATTTTTCCGGGTTAGCATTGTTGAGGTAAACTGCAATGAAATGTTTTCTTTTTCAGAAACAGGTGATTCCGCTGGATAGTAAAGCTTTTAGTAAAAATTTCGTGGACAAAACGAACAACACACCTGCACAACGTGAGGCAGATGTGTGAGAAAAAACAAAGCCGGATATGACTCATCGTTCGTTTTTGTTTGAGGATAAGAATTTACCGGTTGAAAAACCACTAACCACTTTATGCAAGAAGTCGAAAGGTACAGAAGAATAGTTGTAACCATGAGAGAAAAAACTGCGAGGATTCGGAATGCCCACACAAAGGATGGCGATTTCATGTGGAAGTCATAGGGCATATGTTGTGCATGATAGTGACACGGGGATTCAAACTTAGTATTGGCAATACTGGTGGCTCGAGTGGGTTTCTCGGCTGTTGATCAGGTGGTGGGTGATCTGTTCTCCGAGTACGGCAACTGGAATGCAAAGGCTTCGTCATTGATTGAGGGGACACTTTCAATGGGTGGTTGGATGCATAATTCTTCCAATTATGCTTGCCGTCATATAGTTTCAAAGGTGTTTGTCTGGTTTTGGATCGGCTAGTATACAGTTTGGCTGGTTAGTTTAGGATGTGTGGTGCTTCTTGGTCTGATTACCTTGCACCTGACTGGTTCGTTGGGTACATCCATTTCAGTAGTTCTGTCCTATCATTCTTTTCCCTTGAATTAGATTCATGCCATCTGTCCTGTCATTTGATCGACCGAATAGGCACCCTTCACTTATGGTGTTTATCATCCTTCGATTTTTTGTCTAACATTTCTGTTGTTATGTGATCTGATTTTCTGGCTCTTCGTTGGTCCATAAAATTACCTTGGTGCTCGATGGAAACAGCACCTAACACAAAGGTACCTTATGAACCAGTCGATAACCAGATACCAAAATGTCAACATAAACAGGCTATTTTTGAACGACCAATCACGCCGAAGCTATTGATTCACCTTGGGCACCATACGGTCGCAAGCAGAATTAGAGCAATCACCCAGCCAGCAGTGTACTGAAGATTTCTCCTCGTACAGTGACGAAGCATTTACAACTCAAGCTCGGTGAGCAGATCAACTGTCATGTGCTCAAAAGACAATCTTGACATTTCTAGATGAACTCTGAGGGACGAGTGACAGACTTTGTTTAATTTAAATGTCTTATGAATGTCTAAAGCCTCGAAGGGTACTAGAGCGAATCCACCTTCCTTGGTGTAGGCTTGTCTTGGTTTGATTTCTTGTCACTCCAGTCACAACGCAGATACTAGTCTCTGTCATTGCATTTCGGTTTGGTATTTCAACTATTCTGACACACGACATTTGTGCTGGGCAAAGAATCACTTCGCAGCAAAACACATAACCAACTTCATGTGTGCACTAGGCACAAGGAATGATGCCTGGTAGCCAGCAGTGTACTGAAGATTTCTCCTCGTACAGTGACGAAGCATTTACAACTCAAGCTCGGTGAGCAGATCAACTGTCATGTGCTCAAAAGACAATTTTGACATTTCTAGATGAACTCTGAGGGACGAGTGACAGACTTTGTTTAATTTAAATGTCTTATGAATGTCTAAAGCCTCGAAGGGTACTAGAGCGAATCCACCTTCCTTGGTGTAGGCTTGTCTTGGTTTGATTTCTTGTCACTCCAGTCACAACGCAGATACTAGTCTCTGTCATTGCATTTCGGTTTGGTATTTCAACTATTCTGACACACGACATTTGTGCTGGGCAAAGAATCACTTCGCAGCAAAACACATAACCAACTTCATGTGTGCACTAGGCACAAGGAATGATGCTTGGTACTCGAATATTTGGTAGCCATTCACGGGTTCTGCGTCTGTTAGGTTATATTCTACACCCAACCAGTGTAGCTTGCGCGAAGAACCCCCTGGTGAACCTGAAATCTAATTTGGTTTTTCCAATTCTGCTTGATTCTTTGACTTTGGCCACCTATGAGTGTTAGTCAGATGCGAGACTAACGTCGATTTTGATCCACTGTCATTTCTAGCTAAAAGAAAAGAAATACAGGGCTTGGGGGCCTAAATCCAAATAAACTGGCCGCCTAGTTTACAAAGTCAACTAGGGCAAAAAGAAGCATGGTGGCTCTGTATTGTCTTTCCGGAGCCCACCAATAAATCACTGTTTCCGTCGTGTCGGACGAAAAGTTCGATGTATCATGTAAACACTCCCACCAATCTCCATGGACAGCCTCTTGCTGAGAAACGTTCAGAGTATTCTTCCGATATCTTGATTGAAAGTTTTTGTGCGTAACTTACTGCATAAAACAAAGCCCATATTTTGCATCCGAAGAGTAATGGGTCTTTGATCAGAAACCGATTTCCTGGGGACTATAGTGGAAACGAATTTGTTCTGACACAGCCAGCCGAAACTGTAGTCTCCTTGAGACTCACCCGTTTGGTAGACTTATGGTCTCGGGTAAGTAAATGAGTCCACCAACTGGTCTGTTAGAAATCCGACAGGGACAGTGTATGCAGTTAGAGCGTTTTCTGGTTTTCGTCACTTTCATTTGAGACTGCAGATTGTCTTCCTAATCGTTGATATCATCCTTCTGAAGGTAGCTGACGGCACTGCCAACCATGGCATCAACACATTTTCAGTCCGAGATCAGGGCAGTTTGAACGATTTGGGTATAGAGACATCCATACGATAAGTTCTCTAGTGAAAGCTCACATCAGCTTCAGTCGAACTTAATCGGCTGTTCCGTTGAGGGCGACCATGTCGGTGTGACCAGTTCTCATTCAGCTTGGTAAGTTATGGTTATCTGTTTACTCCCAGGAGAAATATCAGTCCACTTGTATGAACACACTGAACAAATCCAATTTCATCAGAAACAACGCTTGATGACATACTAAAGTGGGTGTAAGGAATCACTGTACGCTGAGCAACCATCAGCCGCCCTCATCGATAGCCAAGCACCTCACAGCTATTGGCCGCAATCAAATCTTACCCAACTAGAGATCACAATAAGTGGCTATCAATGAGGCTTTCTCGATCTGGGTTGTGCAGCCAACGCCATTCGCCCAGAATTTTCTTCTAGATAATTTATGTCTACATTGAACTGGCAATTTGGCTGACCTTTTCACTCGGCCTTTTAAAGTCGTTACCATGAAAACCTAATTAGATACAGATGTGTTTTACCTGGTTGATGACAAAGTAAAAGTACATCTCGCCAAGCGTCTTCTGGTGGCCTCATGGAATTTCCCCAAAGTCAAAGATGACAGAAAAAAGAGGCAACCTCAGCCTACATCGGTGATCAGTGCAGATTCCTTGATTTCTCGTCATATGTGCGGAGTTTTGCTCGTGTCCTAGCTATGGTGGGTTACTAGCACAGCTGCTAGTTCGGGTGACCTTTCGTCCGTTACGATGTCTTTTGCACTGATTATTGGTCGTATAAATTGAAGCAAGGTAGGAAGTAAGTGTCAGTGTTTTTGATGTAGTGCCCAAGAACTTGACGAGACATGATTACATGATTTACAATATTTAATCGGGTTGGCACCAACCGTGATTGGGTCACGCTTGTGCGAACCTAACCTTAGTCAGGAGATTTGCAAACAGTGTAAAAAGACCAGTGTTAGTTCTGTCAACTGATATCGACGTTTGTGGCCACTGTACCAACATCTATGTACAATGGTAATTTGAACACAGTTCATTCTCTCAAACGGAGCATAGCGACGTATGGGTGATCGAGCAGAGTGGTTTGTCATGCTCTGAAAAAAGTTAGTTGAATAGATCATCTGAAGTCAGGATATCCGGTATCGACTAACTTCCCGAGTGGTTTCTTCGAAAATGGAACGCCGAAGGTGTCACTCTGGGGACCGGTCACCGTAGGTGAACTACATGATTAAAGAACAGTGGTGCCGCATCTTGTCTAAATACAAGGCAGTCACACTGCCAGCCAGCCACTGGTAGCCATTTGGCGCATTTTTTAAATTGTCTATTGGGTCGGTTCCTTCCAAGCCTTTCGCTACCACTCACTGTATTTAGAAACCAACTCAAAAAGGCCACATTTCCGTTGTTTCCCCTATTTCCAACAAAGCTGAAGAACAAATTGGGCCCAAACATTGGCTGTACCGGCACAAAATGGGAGACTGGGTTGTCAGAAGAGGATTCAAGCACAACGGTTGATTCGAAGTGGCTTCGATCTCTTATTCTGAACGAGTTGCCATCCATAGAGGAATCAGGCAATTCCCTCCCGGTCTCTACAAGAGAGCCGTTGACGGAAATGTGTAAGTTCACAGCCAGTAAAGGCTAACCAAGGCTTGCAGTCAGCTTGTGTGTATATCCTAACCAGTAATCGGTCCTTAACCGTTAGTAAAGTCATACCCTCCCCTAATCTCATTCACCCGAACGGCTGGCCAGTGGATGCGTGGCCTTGAACTTAACAACTCGAATCCACCAACCGGAAGATCACATGCTCATTCTCTCTCTCCGACCCGAATAGCAACTCGAATCCACCAACCGGAAGATCACATGCCCATTCTCTCTCTCTCTCTCTCCTACCCGAATAGCACCCATAGGTACATAAGGCAACAGGTGGGTTTGATGGTAGGATATGTACTCGCCAGAATGCAGGCTTACTCGGTTTTCCGGTTTGAATCTGCACCGGGATAGAACTCCTATCCAAACACCCGTGTCCATTTACCCTCATCTGATTGGTTAGTGCAGCAGCTGACAAGGGTTAACAGCGAAATTTTCCAATTTCGGAGGGTCAGATGAAGAAGGACAACTGCCATCGTTCTGTTTCTACTGTTCCCATGCTGGTGGTTTTCGAACCGACAAGAAGTAACTGGCAGAGTTAAGTGATCCATCCCATCTCTGCCCATTTGATGCGACTCGACTGGGGTGAAAGGGTTCGTGTAGCTGAACTTTTGGAAGACCAGTCACACATCATTACTCATCACTGCTCATAAATGACGCTTTTCCTTTTTTTATGTGACATTCTCTCATGTGAATCATAGGGCAGGTTCTCATCTCCATGCCATCGGTGAGATGGAAATCATCAAAGACCACAATTTTTCTTGTTTTACCATCCATTGTTGCTCAACAGACAAACAACTTCTTGTAACATATCATAGTTCGGTGCCCTCTGGTTTTGCAAAATTTCTCCACTCAGGACACGATCATCCCATCAATGCGAGGAGTACTCATAGTTTTTAAACAGAATTATCTTTGTTCTTACGCGGTTGGTTCCCGACAGTGGGACCATTCATTAGAAGAATCCACCATGTGTTGGTCACTCGAAATGATCTTTCCGGCTGAAGTGGATGGAGTACTTCGAAGCTGCTTGAAATGTATTCTAGAAGAAACAAACCCGAATTGCAGTCCAGCAATTTTACTTTTTTAAAGAAAGTTGACGGCAATTGCTAATGCGTCACAGCTTTTTCTCGGGCAATTCAAGGTCAATTTGTCCGTTTCTCCGCTTCAATCTGCAACTGGTTACAAAAGTCTGCTTCGCGTGTGCACTTTAGTACAAACGAAAATATCTATACTTATTTACTTTAAGCACCGAACCCTCGATTTCTTCATTCAAAGCCCGAGCTATTTGATAAACCAAAGGACGCATGAAAAATTAACCACAGTTTTACGGGACTGATCTGGTGGCTAGAGTGACCACTCATACGGTTTATATCAGATGGTGATAATTAAGTGAATGGGTTGCTGGTGATAGTTATAGCGTTTGTTCAAATTCTTAGACTTCTTGAATGTTGCTGGCATTAGTGCAGGATAACGAACAATCAGCGACCGGAGTTGTCCGACAGCTCGTTTTAGGTGCAATGTTAAACAGCCCTCTCCAATTAAGTAATTCTGCTAATACTGCCCGATATCTGCTCATTGCCGTGTCATCTCGGGTCGCACGGACTGCCAGGCGATAAGTCAGCAGAGGCTGCTGGTGCTGTCATCTTGTGATATCAAATAACAGTCGAGTAGGTGCCGAAGTTATCTTTGGAGACGCACTAGTGCTTGTTATTTGGTACATTTGTGGCCAGGAAGACATCCCGTTCAGGCAGGCACTAACGAGCGGCAGTTATTTTGGTGACTTTTATGATACTGTACACAGTAGATCATCATCACCATCATCAACAGCATCAGTGTTAAACACTGATGCTTCGCTAACATAGAGCCATAATTCATTTGAAGGCCGTATTGTGAAGAAAAAATAAAAGTAGACCAGGTGCTGCCATGCCAAACCATTACGAGGTGTCTGCACCTCCAGACATTCACCCTCTGCCAAGTCATGGATTAGCCACATCTCCGCTTTTGCCACTCTGAATTGGGTGCGGAAAAAGCACTCTCTTCGGCAAATGATGGTTCAGCATACACATAAAATTCATGGCCAAATCAACGCAATTTCTGGTGCTGGACAAATTCATCAATGGAGATCACCCATTACACAATCGAAAGCTTGCTTTGTTATGGATTTGCTGATACCAAACGACATGAGCTATGGTTCCGAGACAACTGTTGTTGAAGGTATCTCCGTTCCGTTGATCGAACAGTTCAAGCCTCACAGTCATACAGTGGAACAGCCCGTACCGTAGCCTGATACACCCGTCCATTGAGATTCAGGGACATACCGCTTTGATGCCAAGTATGACCCAAGTATGATCTTGCCGAGGCGAATGTGATGACTGTGATGCACAAAAATGGAGCTAAAAATTTTGACCTCTACAGCTTCATTTGGGTTAGGAAACCTTTCGAACTGAAGAAGAGACATAC